AATTACTCAGTTAAATCCCGCGAATGTTTAGGAACAATTTGAGCTCAAAATACTGAAAATATTTTTTATAGTATAAGTATCTCAATTATAAATAGATTTGAAATTATATCATGTAAATATAGGTTATGAAAATGAATTGTTAATATTTTGAAAACTAAAAATGAAAAATTAAAAAAAATATTAAATGGTCAAATTAAAAAAAAAAAAAACCGAATACAGAAATTGGAAATTCTATCCATTCTAATAGAATGTACTTAAATATCTTGGTAGATTGATTGGGGAATCGGCATCTACGAATATTTTTCAACTTAGTGTAGCAGTCGGGTTCCTATTACACCTTGAACGAAATTCAATACTCTTTCGGATATTGACATGCACCAAAACATGGAACGAAATCTATTTTTCCAGGAGCTTTAATGTGAAGTGAAAAGAACCTGGCTACGGTACCAAGTTTAAATATTATTAGATGTCAATTTCCCTACGAATCTACGAAGATGTTTCAGTATATAGGGAAGTCCATTGTCTTAGGGTTGTTAGAATTTCTATATTTCTGAATTATTTTTTTTGTTAAATTCAAATATTTTTTAAATTTATAATATGGCATCTTTTCATCCAATAGATTAAATCTCATGGCCATAGCCTGGTAAAATACTATTATTATTACACCCGTAGACAATGTAATATTTCTCCAAAATTCTGTGGCCACCATAATAATTCCAGTAATCTCTCCATCACCCCCTAATCAAAACAAATAGTTAAAAAATTAAAACTTCCTCTAGTTGCGCCCCTGATCTGTGTAACTTACTTAAAATAGTAACACTGCTCTCTTTATTTATTACATTACTGTGCAATAAGCACTTGCTACCATATAAAAAGTAAGTTTTATTATATTAAAATAACAATATTCCAGCAGGATCTTGCGATGTGATTTAACATATTGGATAAAACGGTGCTATATTATAAATATAAACCTTAGTTCTTTTAAATATATATATTTAAATGTAAATATGTAATAATTTATACTTATATATGTATGTATTTGAATAATTTTGATATAGTTTGTTTGTATATAAATATTTACATCCGTAAATTAATGTAATCAGATGGTATTAATAAAAGATAAGCAAGGTAGAGTGGAGAAATCATTTTCATTTTTTTTTTAGCTGTTCAGACACCGTGGTGTTTTGAACAAATTTTTATAAATATATTCTTAAGGATATATAATGTTCTCATTTAATATAAAATTAATATCTCATCGAATTTTTACTTATTATTTATTTTTAGTAAAGTTAGTTTTTAAAGTTAAATTGAAAATATCATAATCAAGATTTATCAACAGTGCCTATTTCGAGCAGCCAAGCAAATGATATTCGAATGAAATTGATGTAACAATTAATGTTTTAGATTTATTACAAGATAATAAAATAATATTTATAATTTTCTTATTCATATTTTAATTTATTAATGTGTTATATTTATGCATCGTTGGTATATAAGTATTCCATATTTCTTTTTTAAGGGCATAATAAAGTTATTCCTGTGAGCTTCTAACTTTTTTAAATGACTTCATTCATTGTTTATATTTCTGGTTATTTAACTGCTAACGCATCATGTTAAAAACGCATGCCATTAAACTGAACTGGAGTTCACGAAAGCGAAACAGAAGGGTGAACATGTAAGAGAAAATTGTGTTCCATGTCTGATCGCTTCCGCTTTGAAGGAAAAACATTCATATTTTGCAACAAAGCGTTATGTTTTAATTCTTGAATTGTTTTTCATGAACTTATGTGTTATGTATAGTATTGTTGTTTTTTTTAGTAGCCCATTCTTACAAGTTTATGTCGTGATGTATAGTATTTACAATAACCTTAATTTCTTATTGTAGTTCCAAGAAACGTCAAACATATATATTTTTCTCAGCCTAGCTAAGTATTATGAGTATATTCGAGAGATTTTGTTTTTGAATTTTAAATTATTTATACAAAATTTTATAAACATAAAAATATCCGTTTTAAACATCAAAAGAAAGAGTAGTATAAGATTTTTGTTCCTGATATCTTAAAAATGAAACGCTGATTTGGTTTGTGATACAGACAATATTCCGCAGTACAGACCCCTTTTTATCATTATTGACATCCGTCTGAAACTTCGGGAATGGCTTCATCTTATCGCAACCTACTAGTGTTGCCCAAATGTAAGACCGAGACGAGTCTTGTTCTTGCAAACTCAGTCTTGGTCATGGTCTTGGTCTTGCGCAAGAGTCTCGCAACAATCTTGCAGTTACTTATTAGCTTTTTACTATAGAGATATTACTGTAATTTGTTAGAAAGGAGAAATCAAACTAAGCTAGAATGAAAAATTAGAGGACTTAAATGCAAAAGTATATTGGTCATACCAATTATTAACATATAATAATTAAAATGATCGTGTATTAGTAACTATTTTGCCTTAATTTTTATTTAAAAAATCGATTTTTTTCACCAGTCCTGGTCTTGGTCTTGCAACAGTTAGACGGCCTTGTTCTTAGTATTGCAAAGTAAAAGACCAAGACCGATTTTGGACAACACTATAACCTACAACTTTTTTATTAACGAATATTCTAGGAAATGTGGCGTTTTCAATCTAGAGATCGCCAAACTTTATCTATTTAATGTGGTATTAAGAAATCATGCACACCCATTTGATTTCCACTTGAATCGTAAGATAATTTGTTCACGAAATCGGGAAAAGGCGGACTTCAAATAATATTGGGCCGTATGGCGTGCCCTCTACGCCCAACATGTTAGAATAACGAGAGGTCTGTACAGCATGCTACAAATTGTGAGTGGTTTTTATCTTTTTAAAAACGCTATTGTGGAACGGTTGGTTTTTCAGTTTGTTATTTTCATATTACCAAGAGGATCATTCTCATTATTGTTTAGAAATTTGTTTGTTCTCAAAGATTAGTTTATCTAAAACTTGGTAAATGGGCAATTTATGGTGTACGCCATTCTAAATCCTATTCTCTTAGACTGAGAGATAGCTTTCGTCTCAATTATTTTTAAAAATAAAATAATTTATAAATAATATGACTTGAAATCGCTTCACTTTCATGGATACTAATCTGATATAATATTCATTGAAAAAAAAAATTAATTAATCAAATTATGTTTTGTACACCGAAATTTATTTTTTTCTTTATTAAACCTCATACACACAAATTTCAGTAAAGTTTTCAATCATTTTAGAACTCATCCCATTTTTACTGTTTTACTGTATCATTGAACTGATGGCTTTTGATCCATTGTTGTGTGTTTTCGCATTAAAACACAGTTTAATATCCTTATAAGTATAATTGAAATAACTATTCTCCTTTGGTGTGTTCACTTACCTTCTTTTCGTTATGTATTTGTGCATATTTTGTATATGTCTTATAATCTTATAATATAAAAAATATGCTTCTGTCAGTTTTTCTTAAAATTTCATTTTTTTCATTTATTTACCATATATTTTGGATGATGTAATTCTAGTGAGTTTTATCATTACTCATTTTAAAAGGATTTCTTCAAGTACAAATAAATGAAATAAACCATAATAACAGAAACTATTAGTTATCAAAAGCTAAGAAAGTTATTTTATAATTAATTGGAACTGATACAACTTTGTTTTTATTATTGAGTATATTCATTCAATAATTGTAACAATTAAAAAAAACATTTTATTCTATTTATAAAAATGTATTAATTTTATTGTTAAGAAAACAGACTTAATTTGTTTAATGTAATTTTTAGAAGCTCGTGCTTACATAGCTGATTATGCCTTTCTTTGATTCTAATCATATTGATAGTTTAAATAAAATGGCAATGATTTTTCTATCTAGACGAAACTTAGTTTAGTAATACTTGTTTTGCTCAGCTGGTAAAAAGATTCTTTAACATCAGTACAACACGTACTTAAGTTGAAATAAAAGAAAGCCCTTTACTTTCCAGATTTTCTTTAGTGGAATGTAGTTTTAGAGAGTTTCAAAATTATCGGCAAAAATCCCGCACCCCTTTAAGGAATGGCTCGACAAACGGTTGACTTGGAAGAAATCAACCTTTCTAACGACTAAGAAGTCGTTTTCGTTCCTGTTTTCAGGCATTGGTGGAACGCAACGTCCACCCTTAACATGAAATATCATGATCTAGTTTGGATTAAAATAAATGATAGTTTTTATGTTATCTATAGTTTTGGAAAATAAAATACGCTTTTAATGATATTCAAATACCAGAATGAAAAATATAACTGAATTTTTCCTATTTTACATGCATGCCAATTGTATATAATAAAGTACATAAACCCACTTTCTCTTTATAAACTCTTTACTGAAATATTAGGGTAGGATTTGTTTTAATTTTACATTACATTAAAATACTTTGTGAATCTATTTAAATGAATAACATAGAAATATTGATTAGGAGCATCATTGCTTGTAAAGAGTATGGCATAAGAAGGGTTCTTAGGATATTGTGTTTTTAGGATAAGTATTATTTGATTGTATGGTTCTTCTTGATATGTTAAGGTATGTCACTTTGTTTTTAACGTGGTCATCATGGATCATACGATTTGAAAATGTATGCTAGCTTTCTTGAAGGTTAATTAATTTTTAAACTTTAAAATATGAATGTTAAATTATTTGAGTGTTATCATGATTTGAAGATGTACACAATTTTTAGATATGGAGATAATTGGTGAAGTAACACAATCCTGTTCTTTTTTTTTTATTAAGTTCTATATTCAATTGATGTTTTTTTTAGATTGTAGTTGTATTTTATAATTGTACTGTAAAGTAAATTGTTCATTTAGAACTGACTTCTCTTTTCCTCGCTACAAACATGCTTAGTCTTATAGTCCTAAAATATTATTGTTACTTATTATCTGAAGAGTACTTGATTCTCAGAATCTGTTGTTTGGCGGATTTCTCAATTTAACGTCTGTTTAACAGCATTATGTTTCAGATTTTTTTTTTTATGAAGCAGTGCTAAATATAAACTAGTCATGGTCTGGATGAAAATCATTGAACGAATAGAAATAACTTTATTACAAGTAAAAAAAAAAGAATACACACATGTATATATTAACAATTTTTGTCAGCAATAATAAATCGCAAGGATTTGGCAACTACATCGGGATACTAGTACTAAGGACTTACAAACTATACAATACAGGTAGATTGGACTTAAAATTACAAGAGTACAATAAATTACAATGGCTTTTGTTTGGCTCGGTGGAGCCTGCCGGGTTCTCGTCGACTAGAGCCCGCTCGCTGTAGCTGTCTCGGGCACTGGCATATAAATAGTTGTTGCAACGCCTTACTTAAAATTATTATTACCTGTCATTGCTATTGTTCAGCATACTAGGGAAGCTTAATATGTAGATATTTCAATATCATTTCAAATGGTTACAGTTATGAAATCGCATGTGTTCACCATGCAATAATTTAATGATGTGAGACTTCGATGCTGATCACAAAATGTAGACGAGCTGTCCGTAGTATGATATATATTTGGTGCGAAGGTTGCAGGTCAATAAATACTTCTACAAGGCGACACTGTGTCCCCTGAGGAAAGCGTCTATTTGGCCATTGGCGAGTGACGTTCTCTCGCCATCAGGAGTCACGAAGTAGAAAGGCTGATAAGGCTTTGGTGCGGGGGAGAACCTTTGAGGCTCCTGTTGTAGAAGGCCGGTGGGGACACGCTTGCCCTGCTCCTGCTGTCTCCTCTGCTGCTGGGCGAACAACTGCTGCGATTGCTGGATGAGGGCTGCTTGCTGCGACTGGAAGAGTGCTTGCTGACTTGGGTATGAGTTGGGTCTGGGCTGTGGAGCAGGAGCTGGTCTGTATATGGGCTGTTGGTGTGGGGCCACGAACGGCTGGAGTCTGCCTCTGAGGTTGAAGTCTCCTCCGGATTGTGGCAGCTGCTGGTAAACCACAGTGTTGTACTGACCGGAGTTGGGATCGAAGATAAGCTCAGATGTATAGATAGGTTCAGATGTACCGGAAGGCTTGGCTGGCCTAGGAGCTGGTGTAGAGACTACATTGTGCTCCAGCTGGAAGCTCTTCAGCTCATCGTCGAGGTTGATGGACTGTGGAATGGGTGAAGGCCTTGGTTTGGGCGTGGGGGTGGCAGTGTATTGTGGGCGGTAGGTGGTGGCCGGAGGATGAGCCTGAGCGTATTGCTGTGGTCGGGGTGTGATGGAGACGGATTGCCTGGCAGGAGTTGGGGTGAGCAGTTTAGGCCTAGGGGTGGGAGTTCTGAACACCTGCTGCTGTGCGTGCTCCTCCAGCTGAGAGTATGATGGGACAGAGAAACCAGGAACTGGTGAAGGTTGTTGCTGTAATTGTGGATGTGGGGTAGGTCTGGGCTGAATGGCGACGGGCCTGGGAGTGGTGGGGATAGGCCTAGCTCTAGGAATATTTTCCTCTTCCTCATCCATATTGTACTGCTGTTGGAAAAGTGTGGTTGGGTTACCCTGCTTTATTGGCCTCAATGGTTTGATTGGTCTCTTGGGTATATTGGGCAAACCTTTTGGAATATTTTCTTCTCCAGATTCGACTTCAGGTTGTTCTTCTTCATCCTGGACTGCGTTGGGGTCACAAGGGTTTCCGGAGACATAAGTAAACTCTCTTTTGTTACCGTCCGGGTCGATGTAACCATATTTGCCCCTGACTACACAATCAGTTCCTCTGGTCTCTTCCTTGAAGCTTCCGTCGGCTGCTTCATAGCCGAACGTGAAAGAGCCATCATCGTTCAGCTTGTTATAGTTTCTGATGGTTTGTACAGGTGGAGCTCTTGGTGCGACGGGCTTGGGTTTAGGCTGATATCTCTGCTGTCCATTTGGCCTTCCGTAAGCATCTTGTCTGGAGATCAATATCGGACCATTGTCTTCTTCTTGTTCAGCGTAGTATTCAACCTGTTGTTGTTCTTCTGCTTCTTCCTGTGCCGCAACTGGTCTCACCCTCAATCTCCTAGCCTCAATGGAGAAAACCGCAACGGCCCCAAACTGAAAATAATACGACAAAAATTAGTTATATTTTAGTAAGTTGTATGTATCGAAATATTTAACAAATTGAAAGTAATTTATTTTAATGTATTTAATTTATATGTTTATTTTGTAGTATATCAACTTATTAATATTTTTATTTAAATAATTGAAATAAATATTTGCCACACTTATTAATTTAAGAAAGATTTATAACCTAAGTTTCCAAAAAATAGGAATGCATATTAAATAAATGCTGAGTGATGAAACAAATGTTTGTGAGGAGCATAAAAAAGAGAAAAAGAGTTGGACATTTTAAGGTCATTTGATTCTCCGAGGTTTGTATCGAGGTGCCAGAGATTAATTATTATTATGAGATGAATAATCAGCTCAAACAAATATGTATCGCCCGTATGTAGGGAGGCTTTTTAATTTATTCGATCATGGATTACAGAAGCATTTATAAAAATTGAGGTCAACTGCTATCCTCCCTCATGTATAATTGAAAATTAAAATGAATCGGTTCATCAGTATCTATTTCCCAAGGACGTCTTTATGGATCTTTTGTATCCTGAATAAATAATAACTGATAACAAGGGAAGTGTGTGAAAAACTCCATTGTCAAGGATCAAAAGCCGTGAAAGTTTGAAAATGTACACAGAAAAAGAAAAGTGGAAAACTACTAAACTATTAACTTTCATTCATCTCATTGTGCCATGGAAATAGGCGTTAAATTGTTTCATAGCATTGTTTGTTTTGTTAATAGCAGACTATATGGAAAATTGAACAAAGCTCGTGAGGGAATACTATTTCTTCTTCATTTCAATTCTCAAAGGATCTTGTGAATTGCGAAATATATGTTCACAGATGCATTTACATGTTTATACACATATTTGTAGAATCATGAGTTCTGAGGAAGAAACATAAAACAAGAAACCAGCCACCAGAACCAAATTCTCCAAGGAAGTTGGTAGTATAGCGAGGAGAAACAGGACTAATGTTAGTTTGAACCTCAAAATTAAATCTTTTGATTATTTTGTTAAATATAACTATATAATACTGATATCGTTTTTTATGAAAGTTGTAGGATTATCTATAAGCTGGTGTATCTTAAAACTATGTTGAATGCTGAATTCACAAAAGGTTTCCATGAAAGAGGATTTTACTAGAATAACACTTCGTATAGATGATGAAAGATCAACCTAAGGAGTGTTCATTTAACCAGTGCTAAATATAGTAAATCTCTTAAATGTGCGAAAATCGAGAAACTTGATTAAAAGAAATGAGTGTTAATTACAGCCGGTAGCACACTCGATTTTAACACGGTCTGAGGTCTGTTAATTAAAGCAGGCACTAATTTCATAGATGCGCGTGGAAGGTTACAATGAGGTTTATTATGAGTTTTATTACTACTTTTGTTACAAGTGGGATATAATGTAAGAAAGTATGTGAAAGGATTCAAGAAAATGGGCAAATGAACACAATAATATGTTATCTGTAGTTACAGGAATAATGATGAAGGAGAAAGTAAATTTTTTTTTAGCTACTCATAAATTTATGATTGCCACACTTTTTCTAGTAAATAGTGTTTAAATTAAAGAACAATAAGACTTTAAAAATTGAAATCAACAAGTGAAGCCGAAGTTGATGGGCGGGGTGGCCGAATGGGCTAAAGCGTGTGCACAGCACCGCCGTTGCCCGGGCACCTGACATATGAATCTAATGATATAAAAATAGTCATGAGTTCGCGTCCCGGTGCCGAGGGAGTCTTTTAAATCCCCGCCCACACCCTCTGGCCCGGGAAAACCCCGCATAGCCTTAACGGCGAGGAAGGGGAGAACCCAAACAACAAGTGAAGCCGAAGTTGTCAGGGTTGGAGGTTACAACTTACTATTGCTAATAACACTTTAGCAGTTTAGCACGAGGAGTCCTTCACTAAAGATTCATGCTAACACATTAAGCGTTTATCACAAATTATGTGAATACCCCTCTAGTGCTATAGAGATTTATGTTTACGTAAGCTGTAAAAAATAAGATTATTGACTTTGGCGATGACGGTAAATCTTTTCATTAATTATTCATAAAAATCGATAAATGAATAAAATAGAACAATTATGAGGATCAATTTAACATAAATATGAAAAAAAATGTATGCATACAAGAAGAACAATGAATCTAATTATTTCACTTTTAGTTTTGAAATAATCATGAAAATCATTTCGCATTGCGTCTTGATTGGTATTTATCCAATAATGTGTTTAATTGTTCCGTTATCTGTTAAATCGACTCCAATTAAGGCGTGATACCTTGGCACATTTAAAAGGTTACTACCCATCCATGGAAAAAGTAATCAATTTCGATGCCATTGTAAGATGATCTGAGTCTCATTATTACCAAAATAAAAAAAATGTCAAGGAATATCATTATTTAGAGCTTCTTTAAAAAATTACTTTAAGTACCTTTACGAATAATAAAAGTAATAAATTGTAATGATAGGTGTAGGTAATGACAGGAGACTGTTTTGGAGTTATGTTGCTATAATGTTCCGGTACACGATGATCGTGATTGCAGCTAGTCGGGTAGTTCCCTTAGGTTTCCAAATGACTTCCTAGGCTTACTTATGTAGTTGCAACTCTAATAACCTAAGACTTCTTTTTCCATGAGTCATGTACAATCTAAAAAGATTTTTTTCTTCCAAAAAAGGTAAATGTTCTTGTAAAGTCTTCTTTTAGATCTCTCGGTCGGGATTCTCGTTGCCGCAAGAACATTTCTGTAATGTGTTATTATCAAGATTTAATTTTGATGACATTATTATGTGTTTTGGTATGAAAGGTAAGGAAAAATAATTGGCTGTACAATAATTACTGATTAACAAATAACATGTATGATTAAAATCATTTCGAGACTTTTATTTCAACTTTTAGTTTAGTAGGTATTCTGACAGGCGGATCTACGGGAGGAGGGAGAGCTCTCGGGCCCCCCAAAATAGTAAAATATAACCATGTTTATAGAAGAAAATAATATCTAAATTATTATTCGCCTAATTAAATTTAATATGACTTAAAGAATCACTTAAACATCATTTCATATAGGTAGTTAGTTTTTTTCTTTCTTTCGGAGTAATTATCCTAATATATACTTACCAAAAACTTAGTTTCTTAGGCTTAGTTAGGCTTAGTTTCAGGCCGAAGCCCCCTCCTTCCCCCCAAAATGAAGTCCTGGATCCGCTAGTGGGTATTTTTAACAGTGTTTTCAAATAAATAGCGGAAACCAAATAAATGTGGGAGCGCTCATAGTTTCCTCAATATTAAATTAGTGATTGTTAAAATGTATTTTAATCTATTGGTTACAAATATATATCGTTAATAATGAGTTGAGGAATGTGCCTTTTATTTAACTTTTGTTGTCATATATTTATTTGCATTCCTCATTTCTCTGGTTATACAATACCATTCTAAAATTACTTGAACGTATTTAGTAAATTAATTTTTATTTTAAGAGTTAATAATTGATGAAATAGAACGTAGTAGCAAAAAGAGATGCGTAAGTTGCACGATAGAAATTTCTGAGGGAGCTCATTTTGGAAGGAACCATATTTTTATTGAATTTCAATTAAGGGGAGAGAGGAAATTTCAAACCAATGAACTCAGAAAAAATGAACTACAATTTTTATTGATGTTCTGGGAAGATGGGTACACCTACCTAGTAGTTAAGTTTTTAAAACCTATTTATATATAATAAATTCACTTTCACTTATATAATAGGCTGTTTGAAATGTCAAGGCTAGTTATATGTTATGTTAGATTTTTTTAAATTGATGCCAGTACTATATAGTAGCGGATTTGGTATATTTCCAATACTCGTATACTCGCATTATCTACCATTTGTTACTTAATCAGATGTATGAGATATATTTCTATTTAATTGTTTTGTTTTTTTTAACTAGGAATCAGTTTCCCTATTTTGGCTTTTTAGGAAAAAAAAAGTTTTTGGACTATCTTGGTGTAATTTTTAAAAGCTCATAATTCGGCTTCTATAAACGCTAGATAGGAAGAAGTAGTGTAATTTAAAAGAGAAAATGAACCATTAGCGATGTGCCATTTTTGGATATGGACTTAAGGCGGAAGTATAGTAAACATGGCCATTTTCGAGTGTGAGATGGAAAGATCACTTCTCAGAGCTGTTGAAATAAATGCCATTCATTAAAAGTTGTTACTCCAAGTAATAGAGCAGCTGTTAGCATGTGAAGAGTAATAGATTTTTTTTTTTTAAATTGGCCAAGTACCTGTAGTTGTGGTCCAGACCCCTTTTTATTCGAATTATTAACATCCAACCGAAATTTCGTGAATAGCTTTACCGCAGCCTGCAACTATTTTATTTACGAAAATTCTTGGAATTGGGGCTTTTTCAATTTGTAGATCGGCAAACTTTGTCTATTTAATTAGATACTAAAAAATAGTAAATACCCATTTGCTTTCCACTTAGATCGCTAGATAATTTGTTCACAAAATCGAGAAAAAAAGGTGACCTACAAAAATATTAGGCCTTTTGGTCTATATAACATCCTTATTTTGACATGTTGGGGGTGTAGGTCACGCCAAACTTTCCAGTATTTTTGAAGGCCAATTTTCCTTCAATTTTATGCTCAAATTATCTTACGATTCAAGTGGAAAGGAAATGGGTTTTTACTAATTTTTAGTACCTAAATAAATTGACAAGGTTTGCTGATCTCGATATTCGCCCCAATTCCCAGAATTTTCATAAATAAAATAGTTGTAGGTTACGACGAGATGAAGCCATTCACGAAGTTTCTGGCGGTTGTCAATAATTTGATGACAAGGGGTCTGTGCCGCGTACTTATTAAGGCATTTCACAAACTATGGATAACAAAAATGTTTAAATGTGTTTTGTTTTTTCTAGGCTAGTGTTTTGATTTCTTGTTTGCCCGTTTCATCAGCTGTCGGGTTTTCGAGAGAAATCAAAAGGAGTTTGTATAAGCTATAGTGTCGCTGTTAGACGTT